AGCAGCGTGGTCAGCTGCGCCTTGCTTACGTGGCCTCTCAGGCCAACACTGCTGATATCTTTACCAAGGCACTTCCGCCTTGTGATCATCAGCGCTGTTGTACGATGCTAGGTCTTGTGCCTACTTGGCCTCACTCGCTTACTTCTTGACCTTGCTTGTACTGTGATCTTTCTATACCTGCACTTGCTTGTTTACCTTTATATATGATCTTGCATGTGAACTGGCCTTGTGGCCTTGAACTTGTGCTCGGAATGTGTGGTGACGTTGTGATCCACCCTGAGCTTGCTTTGCTTTGCTTGACTGGTCTTGTGACCCCTTGTTCTCCCCCACTTTGCCTATGGGGGTGTGTCAGACTTGTATGACTTAGCCTGTGTAGGCTATAGTGGGGTAGCACACATGGGGTACAACACATTTCTAGGTTTGTACTTGTACCCAACCTTTCCCTTAGTCAACCACTTCCTCGTGATTCTCACAGCATGCTGCTGCTGGCGGTGCGCACATGGCCTACAGCGAAGTGCGTGGTGTTGCTGGTTGTGAGCGCGCTGCCTATAAGCGTGCGAAATTGCTGGCTAGGGTGCGCGATTATGGTGGACGGGATGGGTGGCTGATGAGTGGCGTCACGGCATGCTTCTATCGGATGGCTAGCTAAAGGGACATACTTAATTAGGGCCTAGGAACATTTCGATGATACCATCTTATAATTAGGTCGAGCGGAAGTGATGTCACTGGGAGAGGGAAAGGGGGGGGGGGGGGGAGGGGGAAATTATAAACTTTAAACATACATTGTGCTTAGAAGTGAAAGCGAAGCTGCTTGTACTGCATATTGGCATCGTCGAAGTGCGCTAATCGCCCTTCTCCAACTACAAAAACCGTGGGTTGGAGTTCATTTCCCTCCACCCACGTTTCTGTCAGAAACAAGAAGTGTTGAACTAGAAAGATTTTGGAGTACAAGTAGGAAACCCTAGAGAAGTGTACCCCCTAAAGGCTAACCCACTGTAGCCTACACAACAGAAACATATATAATGTTTGACAGTTTCTCGATTTTCAAACGGCTCACTCAACATTTCCGCTCAAGTAGTTTTTCCCTCCATCCACAGCTGGCTAGAACAAAATCACTTCCTAAAAGCGAGTCACCCCCGACTTCAATCACTCAACAATGCACCTACGCCGACACTTAACAACGGGAACTTGTCAACCCCCGCTTCCGACTCCGACCGTAACACCCGCAATGTTGCGGGCGAACGACGTAACAAGCGTCGGGCAGAAGATGGACCGCCCGCCCCGACTCCAGTGGACGTGCTACTGGGCCGGATCGAGGTCAACGAAAATGCCGACCCCCAACAGCACCCTTCGTCGCCTGTGGCGCCAGTGGCACCTGCGGCGCAAGTGGCGACGGCAGCTAGCGCTGCACACGCGACTGACGCCGGGCACACGCCAGCACCTGCGGCTGGATCGTCGCATCAACGCCAGAGGAGGCGGACTGCAGTCTCCTCGTCTGACGCGACGGCCGCCCCTGCGCTAACGCTGAAGTTGATCCGCGACCAGATCAACGCGCTGCTGTCCCTTCTACAGGAGCAGCCCGTCAGCGTTACAGTCGCGGAAACTGCACTACCCGCTGCATCTGCTTCGGCTAAAAAAGAAAGGCGCGCCAGGAGCACGGACGAAGGCCCAGAGACGGGGGGGGGGGGGGGGGGGGGGGGGGGGGGGGGGGCACACGTCTATGTGCAGCGTCTGCAGAGGAGCAGTGGTTGGATAGCCGGTGAGGCTCCAGTCAACAATGATAATTTTATTGGCACCGAACACCTATGCCCCCTCCCTTCTTCTAATCCCACCTTCTTGGCGGCGACCTTCATCAACGACTCTGTGCGCGAGCAAGCGGAGCTACTGGAGGACTTGCGTATGTACCTGCTGCACGCCAAATACAAGGCATAGCGACCCGGCGGGCGGAATCGAACTCATCTCACACGCTCTCAACCTCATCTCGGGGCGTTTCGAGGTGCTTCAAGTGAAGGACTCCTCCGACTTCCGTACGACAAAGCGCTTCAAGCTGTACCAGAAAAAGAGGATGCTGACCTCTCGACCCTTGAAGCACACGATCGTGGACATGGCTGCAATGGACCGTGCGGCAAGCACATACGCTCGTGTCAACCGCGGCGGAAACAACGCGCCGATGCCGTTCGTACCCAAGCGTGGGCCCCCACCCACGGCCAATTGTCGTGGGTTTTGGGGCTCGTGCTTCCACTGCGGCCAGTTGGGCATGTGGCAAGTGCCTGCCCTAGGAACGGAGCTTACGTGCATGATTCCACTCAACGTGGTCGGGCAAAAATACAAATTCATGCTCATTTTTTATCTGAGGACAGTCAAAGCCAACTTAATTGTCCCCAAGTTCAAGTACGAGGAGCTCAGCTGTGTGGGCGACCTGGCGCGCATTGGCGTCTAAGTGATCTCCATCGACCTTAAATCTGGTTACCACCACATCGACATCCACCCATCATGCTGGAAGTTCTTTGGATTCGAATTTGACAGGCACACATTTGGCCTCGCGACAGCTCCATTTGTTTTTATGCATCTCATCAAGCAACTAGTTCGGCGTTGGCGAGAACAAGGCATCCGAGCCATATGTTACGTAGACAACATCTTATTTATCTGCCAGTTGAAAGCCTACGTATGAGCAATCTGCGAGCAGGTGATATTGGACCTTGAAGAGACAGGACTTGTGATAAGTGCGAAGAAATCACAGCTGTCACCATCGCAACATCTCCGATTCCCTGGCGTAGAACTTGAGTTCGACACCAGATTCTCCATCAGTCCTGACCGACGAGCCTCACTACATGCAACCATCCGGAACCTCTTGAGCGCAAGTAAGGCATGCCGACCAGTCTCGGAACGCCACGTGGCCAGAATCACAAGCATGTTCACATCAATGGGTGTCGCACTTAGCGCGACCGCTCGCGCATTTAGCCACGCCATGCCACAAATGATCAACGACGCACCGTCATGGAAAAGCAGCGTGGTCATCCCCCCATCTACATCAGAGGAGCTCCACTTCTGGCTTACCGTTGTAATGGTGAACATTTTTACGTCAGGAACAGCTGCGACGCGGCTGCGACGTGGTAATCCATGTGGATGCCAGCTCTCATGGTTGGGGAGCCACTCTGACCACATTTCTGGGTGGCCTCGAAGAAGCTAGCACAACCATGTCAGAGCCGCTATGAGCAATGTCCAGCACGCGACGGGAAATCGAAGGCGTCATTTGGGCGCTCCAAACGTATGCGAACAAGATCAAGCAAAAACACGTTCTCGTGCGGGTGGACAACCAGGGCGTATTCTTCATCCTCCGCAAAGGCGACTCTCATAGCCCTGACCTCACAGCGGCCTGCAAGAGCATCATTCGAACATGCATGGAGCTCGACACACGCTTGATCATTGAACGGATTTCGCGCGAGCTCAGCTCACACGCTGACGAGCTTTCAAAAATGGTCGACCACAATGATAACGCGTTGAAGACGCCGTGGTTCCGAATATTAGAACGTCGTTGGGGTCCCCACTCCATCGACCTCTTTGCAAACTCCCGCAACACCCAACTGCCGCGCTTCTGCACAAAGATTACCCACCCGGAAGCCATCGCAGTTGATGCGTTCTCGATCACGTGGACATCCGAAAACAACCTAGCCGTCCTCCACCACGCACAGCGCACACATGCATCACTCACATTGATAGTCCCGCACTGTCCAGACGCAAGCTGGTGGCCCCTTTGCAACCCCCCCCATGCACTTGGGCTCCGCACATCCACGCGCATATCCATCTGACACACAGAATCCAATGCCTTGATACATGGTCCCATTCCACTGCCTTTTCGGGCACGGGGCTACCGCACAGCCCAATCATTGCACTTCGAGTGGTATTTGACTAACTCATCATGTATACATCCTGTGTTCGTATCTGCTCCCAAAGTTACACAACCAACTGATTAACATGCTCGCGCGGTCTCGAGCCAATTCTACAATCCGGACATTCGAACCATACCGGGCCAAGTTTCGAGCCTTTTGCACAGAAGTAAACCTCCCATGTCTTCCAGTATCCGACATGACCCTCGCGCTATACCTGGTACACACAATCTGACACAAAGCCACCCTGTCCGTAGTGCAGCTGACGTGCTCGGCTGTTAGCTTCGCCCATCGCATAACTGGCGGACCGTTCACTACCGAAGTCCGTGACTGCGCAAAACGACACTGCCCTCGACCTACTCGTCTGGAGGAACCAATATCAATCCAACAAGTTCGGGACATGGCTGAGAGTTACTTGCAGTCCAACGATCCTGCGCAATTTCAGAAAGGGTTAATCCCCATCCTCATGGATTCGGGATTCTTGCGATACTCTGGCCTAGTAGCTTTAAAATGACAGAACATCCAATTCGACGAAGATGTCATGTAGATCCTCATACCACACTCCAAGACCGATCAAGTTGGTCATGGAACATGGATACCCAGTTGTAATGAGAACGATGCCAATTGATAAGAATAAGAAAGCAAACTTTCTCAATTGTCGAAATACAAATAGCAACGGGTTGTACGAACATATATATATATACATAATTTGACACGGAACACTTTTAACAGTAACGGGCGAAGAAACGGTTGGTCTTGTACGCGTTGCTGAGATTCTCAGTAAGGAATGCCGAAATGAGAGATTATACACTAACGAAGAAATGGAACCTTTTACACGGAATATGAGGTAAATGATATCTATAAAGATAGGAGAATCCTATGACGAGGCACCAAACACCTCAACCCCTTCCAAACTCCACACCCAGAATCCTACGAAGCCCGTCACCTACGCGACTAGAGGCCATATCCTTTCCTCGCACCCGCCAGTGCAGCTATCTCGTTTCTGCCCTTCACCCCACGTAAAGTGCAGCTTTCTTTTCAGCGCGTCGCACCGCATCGTCGCTTCAGCTTGCCGTCTCCGTTCCGTCGTTCGCCGCGTCGTCCGGCGACACCATGTCGTCGCTACGGAATGTCGTCAAACGGAAGGCGCACAAAGAGCGAGCCCAGCCGTACGCTCCGCTGCCTTCCCTCTCCCGATCACCCCCTCACCCCCTCCCCCGATCACCCCCTGACCCCCTCCCCCGATCACCCCCTCACCCCTCCCTTTCTTAGTTTCCAATAATTCGTTCCTCTTCATTGTCGTCGCAACGGCTTCGCCCGTCGAACATCTTTCCGCATGTCGCAAGCGGGGAGGATCAGCCGCTTTCTCAGTCCCCCCGCCCTAGACCCCACTTTCCGCTCCCCCTCGACCCCACCGACCCGTCCACACTTCAAGTCCTCCCCACTCTTCCTCTCTCCCCTCACCTCCATCTCCCGTCCTCTCCCTCTCCCCGTTCCCCTTCCCCTTGCCCTTCCCCTTCCCCTTCCCCTTCCCCGTCCCCCTTCCCCGCGGGCGGCAGGGTGGCGCGGCGGCGGCTGGGGCTGTTGGAGAAGCACAAGGACTACGTGCTGCGCGCCAAGGACTTCCACCGCAAGGAGGACGCCATCCGGGTCAGCCAAGGGTTGGGAGCAGGGGGAGGGGGATGGGGAATTGGAGGGGGATGGGGAATTGGAGGGGGATGGGGAATTGGAGGGGGATGGGGAATTGGAGGGGGATGGGGAGGGGGAGGGGGAGGGGGATGGGGATGGGGAGGGGGATGGGGATGGGGAGGGGGAGGGTGTGTGCGAGTCTTTCTGCGTGTGCGTGGTCTCTCTCTCTCTTTCTCTCTCACTCATATTCGTTCGCATCCCCACCTCTCTCTTTCCTCCCCCCCTCCCCGTCCCTGCGCACATGGCGCCGCGTGTGCACACGTGCGGGGCCACACGGCAACAGACAATGAGGGAGAAGGCGGCGATGAGGAACCCCGACGAGTTCTACTTCAAAATGGAGCACTCCCGCCTCAACCGCGGCCGCCACGTGTGAGACCCGCTGCCCCTTTCCCTCCACACCACACCCCCCCTCCTCCCCTCCTCCCCTCCTCCCCTCCCTCCTCCCCACCCCCACTCCCCCCAACCTCCCCTCCTCCACCACGCGTGCACGTGTCTCCGTCGCTGCCACGGCCAGAGCGGGGATGGGCGCTGCTGGAGAGGTTGATGTTCCTGGTGCCACACACGGTGTGCTGGAGGCGGGGGGAGACGGGGGAAGGGAGAGGGCTGGCGGAGGGGGAAGGAGGAAGAGGAAGAAGGGGAGGGGCGGGAGGGGGGAATGGGCGGTGAGGGAAGGGAGGGGAGAGGAAGTGAAGGGAGGTTCGGGGAGGGAGGGAAGGGAGGGGAGGGGAGCGGAAGTGAAGGGTGAGTGTAGAAGGGAACATAACCTGGAAGGAAACCTGCTCTGCACGCATGTGCCCATGCACACATGCGCTGCCATGTCACCCACCCATGTTCAGCCATGTTCATCCGTTCCCACCCATGCCCTCCATGCTCACGCATGCCACATGCCACTGTCTGCATCATCATCACATCATCACCCCCCTCTCACTGTCTCACTCTTCTTCTCTGGTGTGCATGGCGGCATGGCAGGCGAGTGGAGAAGGAGGAGTGGACGGAGGAGGAGGTGCGGCTGATGAACTCACAGGACATGGGGTACATTCGCACCAAGTGGCAAGCCGAGCAACAGGTGTCACACACAATGCCGCACCGCACATGTGCTGCTGCATGCCACGCATGTGCTCTGTGTGCCACATGTGCTGCATGCCTGTATGCCATGTGCCACGGCTGTCAGCTCTACACGTGCACCAATGTGCGCTTTCCCTCTCTCTCTTGGCCCTTCCCTCTCTGTGTCTCCATGTTGCCATTTTAAACCTTTCTCCTCCCCCCCTACATATGCACCTGCCCTGCGTGCGTGCGTGCGTGTGTGTGCGTGCGTGTGCGTGCACCTCTACGTATGTATGCATGCATGTGCATGGCAGAAAGTGGAGAGGCTAGAAGCATCACTGCATAGGGTGGATGAGCCGCACAGGAATAAGCACCTCGTCTTCGCACACAGGCAAGCTGCCATGTGCCGTGCATCATGTGCCATGCCGCTTACTTGAGCCATGTGCCACATAGCTTGCTGCTCATGCCATCCCACCGCATCTGCCAGGTCCCTTGTATGTGTCATGCACTGCATGTCTACTAGCACGCCATGCGGTTACGAACTTACGGTTATTGTGAGGATTGTGCGTCAGGCTCTGTAGTCACCTCCCTTGCATACATGTTCACAGCCCAGCCCAGGCCAGTTACTGACTGACCTCCGCGTCTGCTCTAGCCCTTGCCCTCTCATGCACATCCCATGCTTGCACAATGGAATGATGGAATCGGTGCCAGCCCTGCGGCGTGCGCCCATCCCTGCCATGTCACCATCCATCCCCGCACTTGGCCCCATGCAGTGACAACGACGCCACACCACCCTCCAAGCGCCAGCGCCGGTCCTTCTCACCGGAGCGTGAGGCCACTCCTCCGCCCGTCACGAAGCCCCTCAACTCACGCCTGAATCGGTACCGTGCCAACCATTGCGCCACACGTATGCTGCACACGTACACATGCAACTCACTCACGTGCCGTTTTTGCAACTCTCATTATTTGCCCACTTGCTTATGCTGGTCCGTTCGCATATCGCAGTTGCTTCTGAAAATTTCCCCCAAGGTGAAACAATACGATTTCCGTAAATACGGTCCTTCTTTACAACCACTTCAAAAACAAAAAAAACGGCCGTTATTTTTTCTTAATAACTTGGTCTCTCTAAAAATCAAAACTTCGGCTATATTTCTATCATGGCCACAAAGGAAAACATGCAAAGCAAGGCTAAGAAACGTGTCTACTACAACTTGACGAACCAGTCATACCCCCCTCACTTTCACCTATGGGTTGTTGCCCTTCCTTATGTGAAAGAAAAAAGGGGGGCAACAACTGGAACTTGGCCGTTTTTGCTTTTGGCAAGCACAAAACACCACCTGGAACCGTTTTAAAGGCCGTTCTATATGATAGCGTGTTTACGGTGATTACTCCTCCTACTCGAGCCCTACATCCCCCTTGACTTTTCCCTCTTCTCTTTGCCCTGCGTCATCTTCCCTACCGCCTGGCCACCCATGGGTGGGCAGGCACCGGGAGGCGTTGTATGGGGAGCTGAAGGAGCGCAAGCAGAGGGCGCGGCGGCTGCAGGCCATGCTGGAGGAGATGCGCCTCAAGCAGCAACGCCTGGTGCGTGCTCGTGCCGGGTGATGGGTGCTGGGTGCTCAGTGCTGTGTGCTGTTGCGAGGGGTTCTGGAGGGAAGACTTGGGGTGTGGTGACTGGGGAAAGGTGGTTGTGTGAGGGGAGGATGGCATGTGCAGTGTGTGTTGGAGGTAAGAGTGGATGGATGTCATGAGGCACGTGCATGCTCAGTTGTCGATGTGGTAGTCATGGGGACTAGAGTAACGAACTTTCTTTTTTTTTCAATCCCTTGTTCTTCTTGTGAACTTCCTGCCAAGCGTTACATACTCGTTATTGTTTAGCACATATACATACGCAAGCGTGTGTAGGAAATTTGCGTGGCTTGCAAACGTCTACACTTTGTGGAGTTGTCGCTTTGAATCAAATTTTCCCCTCTTCTGATTGCTGCACTACATTTTTCTCCCCGTTGGCGCAGGCTGATGGTCAACAAAAGAAGGTGAAGAATGGTGCAACAGGAGATGATGACGATGACAAGCCAAAGCGAAAAATGCCCTCGAAAACAATCAAGGAGCGCAAAAGATGATATTTAGCAAGACTACTTCCGCAACATGGTACTGGCTTAGTAGTGATACATTCTAAACATGTGTAAAGCTATTGTTGTGTACATTTAACATGTTATAAGTTGTTCTCATTGACCACATATATGAGGTGCTGGTATGGATGGGTAAGTGTTACGAGTGCAATTGAGTGATCGAGCGAGAATTGCACTATCGAAGCAAGAGTACAATGGGCGAAGGCATGAGCGAAGAATATATAGCGAAACTACAGTGGTAACGGTAATGGACTGTGGTTGTCGCGCGACGGGCCTGGGACTGAGGTTTGGGGAAATGTCGAAGCGGAGGCCCGGAGCGCGGGTTACCCGCCGAGCCGTGAGGTCGGGGTGCGACGTGCGAAGGTGGCGGGAGGATTGTCGATGCGAGGGTTGCGAGTGGTAACGGTGCTGACTGTGGTGCTACAGTGGTGTACGCGCTGAGCGGGGACGCGAAGTAAGGAAAAGGAATTTTCCTTACACTACCCCCCCCCCTAAGGAGGTCCTCCTTACGAAAGCGTGTGTACATCCCTGAAGTTTCTGCTGCGCACATACTCTGTGAGGACAGGGTGGTTTTCGACTCTGTCCAGGGGAACCCAGTTGTCTTCCGTGGGTGTACGGTCTTTCCAGCGGATCAGAATTTTCTCGGGTGTGATGATTGGTTCAGTCGGCGGTCGTGTCATGCTGGCTGGGCGATTACGTGGCAGTTGGCTTGTGGACGGTATGTAGGGGTGAAGTAGGCTGACATGGAAGGACGGGCTGACGTACCAGTCTGCAGGGAGGAGGAGATGGGCGGTGACGGGCGTAATCATGTGGCTGATGCGGAATGGTCCACAGTATCGGGGGCGAAGTTTTGGGGTGATGGGCAGGCGGAGGTTCTGGTGTCAGAATATTATGTTTCTCTAGTCTGCAGTGGGGTACTCTATAGTGAGTACAGCCCTTTTAGAGTTTGCTATATGTATCCCAATGTTTGCTAGTGAATCCCTCTCCTCTTCTCTCATTCACTTCCTCGTGATTCTCACATCTGGGTGTCAAGTAAAACTAGGTCGTCGGGCTGGTAAGTAACAGGTCGGCGGTGGCGGTCGGCGTTACGTTTAGCAATGATGTTCGATTTTTTTATTGCGTCTGCTGCCCGGATCCGTGCTGCTTGTAAAATTTCGGCGAACTGTTGTGCTCGTGGCACCGGGTTGTCGGGATTCGGGGTCATGGGTACTGTCGGGTCTTGTCCGTAGTTCAGGTAAAACGGCGACTGTTGGGTTGTGGCGGAGGGTGAGTTATTGTACGCGAATTCAATGAGCGGCAGTTGCTGTTCCCAAGTGGTTGGGTCGTCGCACGTGGCCCGAATGAGTTGTTACATTGTCTGATTTGTCCTCTCTGTCTGTCCGTCGGTCTCGGGGTGGTATGAGGAACTGAACTGTAGTCGCGTGCCGAATTGTTGCCACAGGTTCCGCCAGAAGTTGCTAGTGAATTTCGTGTCTCGGTCGCTTATGATCGCTGCTGGTATCCCGTGCAGTCGAACGACGGTGGAGATGAAGAGGCGTGCGGTTTCTTCGGCTGTGATTGATTTTTTGCAGGCTGCGAAGTGTGCCATTTTCATCAGTCGATCGACGACGACCAGGATCGCGTCGTTCCCACTTGCCCCGGCCGGTAACCCCGTGACGAAATCCATCGTCACCTGCTGCCAAGCACGCTCTGGGGGTGGTATCGGCTGCAACTGTCCTGCCGGCCGCTTCCGCGATGATTTCATGAGCTGGCAAGTGGGACACGATGCCACGTGTCGTTGTACGTCGGTCAACATCTCGGACCAGTAATAATACCGCTGCAGCTGCTGCCATGTTTTCTCTACCCCGAAATGCCCTGAGGTAACTCCGTCGTGTGCCTCCTGTAATAATAATTCCCGTAGCAGTGTGTACCCTGGTACCCAGATGCGGTCGGTCCCGGCTTTTACGTAATAGACTCCCTTTGTTGCTGCGAACTGCTGCGAATTTCCTCCTGTGAAGAATGGATTCGTTTAGTACCCGTGGGTAAATAGGCCTGTCAGTAGTGGGCTTGTCTGGGCGAGTAGTATTGCGTGGATCTAGGCAGTGGGGCGGGTCAGAGCGTCAGCGATGTTCGATGCCCCTTTTTTGTAGGTGACTTTGTAGTGGAAATTTGACTCGAGGAAATCGAGCCAGCGGATCTGTCGTGGCTTGAGGTGTGGCTGTGCGCGGAGGTACTGTAGTGATTTATGGTCTGTCCGTACTGTCACGTCTGCGCCGGTCAAGTAACAGCGCCACACTTTGAACGCGTGCACGATCGCGGTCGTGTATCGGGTAATTTTTCTCGGGCGGATGCCGTTTTCGTGACTCGTATGCGATGGGTTGTAGGTCGTGCCGAAGTCCTGTAGCAGTACGGCTCCGATGGCGATGTCGCTTGCGTCGGTAACTACTTCGAATGGACGGTGTGGGTCGGCGATGCGCAGGACGGGCGGTGAACAGAGAACATTTTTCAGGGCAGAGAAGGCAGCATGCTCTTTCTCCCCCCACGTAAAAACGACCCCTTTCCGTAACAAGTCCGTCAGCGGCGCTGTTAACCGTGCCATGTCGGGGACGAATCGACGCACGTAATTGACGAACCCCAAAAAGCTCTGTAGTTCCGTGATATTCGTCGGGGGGTGCCAGGCTTTCACCGTGTCTAACTTCTTTGGGTCAATTTCGACCCCAGCCTCCAAAATAACGTGCCCCAAAAACTCTAGCCTGTCCTGAAAAAACTCGCACTTGGAACCCTTTGTCAGTAGCCGATGCTCGTCTAAAATTTTAAAGACTGCTTCCAGATCTTCGAAGTGCTGCTGCTTGTCGCGACTTTAGACGAGGATGTCGTCGAGGTAAACTATCACGCATTTATCTAAAAGTGGCCTAAATGCCTCGTTCATGGTCATCTGAAATGTCGCCGGTGCGTTGGTCAGCCCTAAGGGCATCACGGTGTAGTCGAACGACCCATACCTAGTCCGGAAAGCTGTTTTGGCACAGTCCGATGGTTCGACCCTAATCTGATGGTAACCTCCCGTAAATCTATTTTCGAAAAAACCCGTGATGTTCGCAGTTGGTCGATCAGTTCGTCGGCGCGGGGAATGGGGTACCGCGACTTGACTGTTACCCTGTTGAGTGCTCGGTAATCGATGCACATGCGAAACCCTCCGTCTTTTTTTGGCGTAAACAGTATCGGTGCGGCGAACGGTGACGAGCTCGGTCGGATGAATTTCTTCGCTAATAAGTAATCTAAGTGCTTCCTCAGTTCGTCGAGCTCGGGTTGTGTCAGTCTGAACTGTCGCTGTATAGTTGGCTGTGCCCCCGGTTCTAATTCTATTCGGTGGCCATGTGCTCGCTGAGGTGGCAGTCCTTCCGGTAAGTCGTCGGGAAAAATCCCGGGGTATCGTTTCAACAGTTCCTGTAGTTCAGGCGGTACTGCTGCCAGCAGTTTCTTGAAATCACTCGGCTGCTCTGCTTCCTCTATCACTGCAATGTCTACTGCGTACACGTCAGCTCCAGCAGCGACAGCTCGTTTCATGGTGACGGCGTTGACGTGTACCGTTGAAGACTCGGGCGACTGCCAGCGAGGTAGTTCAACCCAGTTACCGCTACTTCACACAGTGCAGCTACCTGTCGTCCAGTCAATTCGCGGGTTATACCGTCGCAGCCAATCGCGTCCCAGTAAAATGTCGTGCCCATCTAGTGTCGTTGCGAGCATTTCCTGTGTAAACCCGAAATTCCCCCCGCAGCGGACTTTGACTCTCTCCACCCTTTCCCGTATGGCCAGTGGCGTGCCGTCGACTAAGCGTGCGTCTATCTCAGGTAAACAACGGCTAAGTGTCAGTTGCAGTTTTCGTGCGGTTGCGGTATTAACTAAACTGTGGCTTGCTCCTCCGTCGATAAAAATCTTCACTGCTGCTCCCTGTATTTTCCCGTGGATCAGTACTGGGCAATCCGTCGCTGTACCCTCCTTATTCGTCCGAGCCCGATCGATAGCATGAATCGGTATTGTGACTCGGTGAGGGTCGGTGGGGTTGGGCGAGCAGGCAGTCTCGTCAGTAGTTGGCCCGATTCCTACTGACTGCTTGCGTTTCCCTGCCTTGGAGACTCCCTTCCCTGCTCTGCTCCGCGGCGCCTCAGCTCCTCTGGGCATTCGCTCTTGCGATGGCCCGGCCTATTGCAAGCAAAGCAGCGCCCCTTAAACGGCGCGGCAGCTGCATTCGTCGCAACGGCATGTACGGTGGCGTGCTCGATCGGTCCCCGAGGGCGATGTCCGTAGTAGGACCCCGGTCTCGGACGGCGCAAAATGTAGATTTTCTCAGCGAGCGCGAGAATCTCGTTGAAATTCGAGAGTCCGCGTAGCATGATTTCGTACGAAATGTCCGGCTTCAGCCCTCCTACGTAACGGTCCACCCGCTCCGCTTCGTGCATGTAGCCGACTTGCTCGAATAATGCGAGAAAACCGCTCGGGTAGTCTTGAACCGACCCGAGCTGCCGCCAAGTACGAAGTCTCTGACGCGCCGAAATAGAAGCCGCGATTGGCTCGAAGCGCGCTCGAAGCCCTGCGCACCACGCATCCCACGTGCTGTACTGGGCGGTTTCGCAGAATGAACTCCAGGTGACAGCTGGACCCGTGGGCCCTTCCTCTTGCGACGGTGGCTCGTAGGCGCGTGGCGACGTCACGATGACTCGCCACCAGTCCATGGCGGGGCCCCTCAGCAGCGAGACGGCGTATATGATCTTCGCTGCGTTCGGCTCGACGTAGTTTGCGTCAAAAAATACGTTCATCGTGAAGACCCGCGACTGAACCGTCGGACCTCCACGCTGACTCGGGTCGAAACAGGGCGGGCGCTGCGGCTTCAGTGGCATTGGTGTCATGATGGCGTGGTCGCCACTTGTCGCCGCAAATTCCACGTGCCGATGGGCTTCGCGAGGCTCCCGTGGGCTTGGCGCGACCCTGTTCCTCTCCATGTCCGGCATCGAGTGGGCGGCGCGATCACCGGCAGCGCCTGAGCGCTGTCCCACGCTGTGGTTCTGTGTTGGTGTGCCTGATGAAATGACGATCGGCTCCTCTGATTGTGCAGGTGCATTTTTAGGTGCGTGTGGTGGCGTCGGAGTATTCACCGTGGATTGCTGACGCGCGGAGTCACGTTCCGCCGTGAGCGTCGCAATTTTGAGCGCCGATTCTTCAACTTGGCGCACGAGACGGTCGAGTTGCTCATGCGTCAGTGTCGCGAGAGTAAATTCGGCCATGGCGGGGGTGTCTGGCAAGCTCAGCGAGAGCCTCTGTCATGGTCGTGCGTGCTTACGAGAGAGCACTACGAGCGGCGGTGCTGTGTCACTGAGAGACGTCTACCCCCCCCCAAAAATTGAGATAGTGGGGAAGCGGAGGTGTTGGTGCGGTCCGAGAAGAGATCGTAGGCTGTGATGCCAAGTGTTACGAGTGCAATTGAGTGATCGAGCGAGAATTGCACTATCGAAGCAAGAGTACAATGGGCGAAGGCATGAGCGAAGAATATATAGCGAAACTACAGTGGTAACGGTAATGGACTGTGGTTGTCGCGCGACGGGCCTGGGACTGAGGTTTGGGGAAATGTCGAAGCAGAGGCCCGGAGCGCGGGTTACCCGCCGAGCCGTGAGGTCGGGGTGCGACATGCGAAGGTGGCGGGAGGATTGTCGATGCGAGGGTTGCGAGTGGTAACGGTGCTGACTGTGGTGCTACAGTGGTGTACGCGCTGAGCGGGGACACGAAGGAAGGAAAAGGAATTTTCCTTACAGTAAGGTAATGGTAAATGAGCAATGTAGCAGAGAAACCTATGGTTGAGTAGCCGCTACGCAGTACGGCGGACGTCCGGTTCTTCCGCATCCAATCGCCGTCCGTCGTGCATTGTGCGACCACCACAAATCCACGTCGTCGCAAAGCCTCGCTAGTTTCTGCTTTATGGAAGGACATCAGTCGTCAGCGAAGGATCGCCGCCAGATTGCTTTCTGCGAGGGCACGTGCTAAGCCCATCGCTAGTATGGCGACTGGACCGACGACCAGTATTTTCCCGCGCACCAGTCAGGCACCACACTGGCTGCCCGCTTCCCCCAACCAGACTTGGGAGTCTCCACTTGCCCGCGCAACTTGCACGCCATTCGCTAACGCCTGCTTCTTCAGCTTCTCCCCCAATCGTATGCAGGAAACAATTTTCTCCCTCCCCCAACCCCGCTTTCTCAGAGTGCATCTTTGAGCTCCTCCCTCCCCGTTCGCTAGCTCACACGCTCATCCTAACCCATGGGCCACCACGGCACAACACCAATCCTCGCGCATTCTCCATTCCAAACCACAATTGCGCGCAGGACTGCTGGTGCGTTTAGGGCGTGTCCAGCGCATACATTTTCACCACATGTGCCGCAACAGTTACCACATTTTTGAATGTAACCCCATTTTCACATAATTTTTTGACATCGTACACCCCTGGAACGTAAATTACGGAAATATCACACACGTCCGTCGACTCGTGAACATGACGCGCAATGCACGTAACTGGCACCATATTTTTTTGAATGTACGAGTCTGAATCTCAACAGTTCCACATTCAGCGAGGTCCATCCCCAAATTGCGCCAGGCCACTTTGAATCTCGCGATATTCAAGGGGGCAAATTCCAACCCTTCTGGTTACAGAGTAGTTCTGTTGCCACTGTCGCGCAACTTGCTGTTCCAGTTGCGCTGAGGCGAATTGTGTCTTCCCGCTGTTTTTTGGACCCAGGACTTTTAAGGTACACCTGGCAGTACCATTTCTGCGCGTGATCCGAAATACGTCGAAATTGTGTAAAAATCCGAAAGTGTACGCCCTGGACACGCCCTAAGGAGACCAACCTCTGGGTGTCTACACCGCACTTGGCCGCTCTTCACCCAACCTTCCTGCTGGTCCCTTGGCGGCTTCAACGGAGCCAACGCTTCAAGCCGACCATGATTCCCGCCGCCACGCTCGATGCTAGATCTTCGATTCCCAGCGTCAGTACGAAACGACCAGGTACCCCGACACTTCCTGAGGATAAGGCATTGTAGGCACTCCAGGTCTGGATCTTTCTGGTCCGTCGTGGTTTCGAGCATTGAGAACCTCTCCGTCCCTATCACGCAAAAGCTTTGGGTAGTTGATTCTCTCGCGTCGCGGGTCGGCGTCTTGGTCCGCGTTCAGCAGCTATGAGCGGGAACGCGGCGTACCGGCCGCCGGGCCCGGTGGTGTATCCGTCCTTGGACTGGCAACTCGAAGAGTTCCTCGCGTCGTTGCACGCCTCCGGTCACCTCGCCTCGCTCCGCACTCTCGCCCACGCCCGCGCGGAGAAGCGCCGGCTAGCCGTCGCCAAGGCGGAGCGCGAAGCTGCAGCTGCGGCGGCGCATGGGGAGGAGGAGGAGGAAGAGGCTGGTTTCGAATCGGAGCGGGACGAGTGGGAGCGATGGACGCATCGGCACGCGGAGGGCGAGGAGGAGGAGGAGGACGCGTCGACCAGTACTGACTCGGAGTGGCGCGACTGCGAGCCCGACTTCCGCGACGTCATGGCTGGCGGCTGCACTCCGCCCACCGCCGCCGGCGGTGGCACCCTCGCGCAGTGGGCCATGCGGCTGGGAGGCGTCGGCGGGGGAGCCCGGCAGCGCGTGGGGCAAGACTCGGACTTGGTGATTGGGTGCGAGGAGCGGGATGGGGGGAAAGACGAGCCGCGGCAGTATATTAAAGGCGCCGCGAATGACGGCGAGGAGCAGGTAGTAACGCTGGCTGATCTCCATGGCTTCATTCAAGATCTGGAAATCGACGACGACGATCTCGCCAAAGCCGGCTGGCGTCAGACGCTCAGCCGCAAGACGGACCGCCTCTCGTGTCGCGCGTGGTCGCGGGATCCCCCCGACGGCGGACCGACGGTGTACCGCTGCCACATGGTGATCCGCGAGTGCAGCGCGGAGGCGGCGCGGGACTTTTTCCTGGACGAGGATTACCGCGCGGAGTGGGACGACACGCGCGCGCAGGGCAGCCAGATGCTGGAGGAGTGGGACCCGCGCGGCGAGTGCGTCGCGCGCTGGGTGCGCAAGTTCCCCTTCTTCCTGCGCGACCGCGAGTACGTCGTCGCGCGTCGCGTGTGGTCGCTGCGGTCGCACACGTACCACTGCATCTCGAAGCTCACCACGCACCCCTCCGCGCCCCCGCGCGCCAACCTCCTCCGCGTGTCCGCCTTAACGTCCAAGTGGCGCGTCGCCGCCGTCACCAACGCGCAACAAATATCCGCCATCTGGCCCCCTGCGCAGGGGACTGCGCAAGCATCCAAGGTAAAGCCCGCGCGCCGCCAGGCGCATCCCGGAAACACCGGGGGGGGGAGCGGCGTGTTTTGGAGGCAGGCGAGCGGGGAAGAGTGTGGGGAAAGCAAATGCGCGGAGTCGCGGCTGCCGGAAGGGGTGGCAGGCCGGGGGGAAGCGGAGGAGGGGCAGGAGAGGGGTTGTTGCGGGGAATCGGCGGGTTGCGCGGAGCAGGCGTGCGACATTGTGACGATCCACGCGGAGGACTCGGGGGTGTCGCGCAACATCGCCAAGATGGGCGTGGCGCGCGGCATGTGGTCGCACGTGGTGAAGATGGAGGCGGCGCTGCACGCGTACGTGCGCGCGGGGCGCAACGCCAAGCACTCGCTGCCCATGTTCCTGCTGCACGCCGATGCCATGCACGCTGCTGCCTCCGGCATCAGACCGCTGTGAGGTGCTGTGCGGTGCAGTGAGGCGGTGGGGTGCGGTGTGGTGCGGTGCTCGTGAAGAGCGTGGAGTGATCGGACGGTCGGACAGACGTGTGCTGCATGCCATGCTGTGGGGCGACTCGGCTTTCTCCATGCCCCATGCCCCGTAGCTGATGCCTCATGCCTCATGCCCAATCGCCCATGCCCCGTTGCCCATGCCCCATCGCCCATGCCCCATCGCCCATGATCCATGCCTTACGCCCCATGCTGCATGCCTCATGATCTCAACTCCATGCTCCGTTCTCCACGCTCCATGCCCATGCTCCATGTTCCACGCCCCATACCCATGCTCCATGTTCCACGCCCCATACCCATGCTCCATGCCTCATGCGCCAGCACCATGCTCTACGCACCGCGCTCCATGCCCCACCTCTATGCCCCATGCTTCATGCTCCATTTTCCTCGCCCCACGCGTCATGCCCCACACGTCATGCCCCACATGTCATGCCCCATGCTCTGTGCCATCCATCCACCGCACTGCCGCCACCGCCATCCCCGACCACTCGTCCAAGCGACTGTCTGCATTGCCCCACCACCGCCCTCCAAGTCGGGCACAAGGGCACCACCCCCTGCCACCCGCATCATGCGTTGCTACCTGTGATGCTCATGCAATAAGAGTCCGACCATTAGCCCACTCAGAGGGGCGTTTATGGATCGCACCGTTACAGACACTCTTGACTGGCTTACGCCACAACCCACCGGTAGTTATTGCTGCTTTTAGAATGCTCTTTCAGTCAAGCTGTAGGATTTATGTGTGTTTTAGATGCGCTTTTGAGCTAATTATTTCCTAGAATGTGTAGTATAGTGATTTTGTACGGTACTTGACCCTTAGCCTTGACAGTTTCAAGCTAATGGTGGCTTCATAGTTTGATATGACTTCATTTGTTGGGTTGCTCTTAGCGAGCAGATTTGAATCGAGGTTATTCTGCCAGTAATTTAGATTGGTCGCGTGCCACAAGCACCAACGATCCAATCCCGCACTCCACGGCGTCTGCTCTTCACTTTAGAGCGAGCCATGGCGTCCGTTACCGCAATGTCATTTCCACACTGCCGCCGTCCCGCGCCGCTCCCGAACTGCCCCCATGCCGTGCCACAACCGTTCCCCTCTCGCCCCTCGTTTTGCTCCCCTCGCCTGCTCGCGGCCTCGGCGAGGCCGCGCGCCGCATTCAGCCCACCGCCGAAGGCGCAGCGGAGCGCGGAATGGGCGCGGCCCGCGCGCCACACGACCGCCGCGCCATCTCTGCGCGGCGGTGGCGGGGTTCGAGCGCATAGCGCGGAAGGCCCACGGTTGCGGGGAGTGCTCGCGAAATGGGGGAGAGGCGAGGGGCTGGATAGCAGCGGCGGAAGATTCAGTCCCGCGCGCGGATTGAAGCGCGGATGCAGGGCAGCAGCGGGGGAAGTGGGGGGCGGAGATGCGGCGCAGGGATGGGGGGAGTTGGAAGGCAGGTGGCGGTGGTGGTGGGAGGGATGGGGGGAGGAGGAGACAGGGGAGGAGAGAGGGGGGAGAAGCGGGGCTAGAGTGCGAGACACATGGGCGGATTCGTGGCAGGGAAAGGATGAGGAGTGGAGGTGAGCATCGAGATGGAGATGGGAATCGGTCTGTAGCTAGGGGAGGCAGATAACGGGAGAAAGGGAAAGAAATGGGGAAGGAAAGAGCGAGCGAGAGAGTCTGGGAGGAGAGCTAGGGCGGGGAAGGGAGAGTGAAAGCGAGAGAGGGAGTGGAGAGTGCAGTGGAGTGGCAGCTGGTATGGCGTCTGGGCTGTCCATTCCATATCCGCGCTCCTGTGCTCCTTTGCTCCTGTGCACATGTGCGTGAACTTGTTGCTGCCCCACAGCACACGCAGCAACAGGAGCATGTGTGAGCGTGTGTGGAGGAGTCTGTGTTCACGAACTGCATGCTCGCTTGCTCCTTCGTCTCGCCTTGCCTTTACCGCCTCGCAGCGGATTCTCAGCAGACCGTGTGCTCTCCGTGTGCGCACCCCTCTGTTGTTGTCACGTGCGTGCGTGCGTGTGTGTGTGGGCGTGTGCATGTGTGTGTTCTTCCCTGCAGCAGCAGCAGCAGCACATCAGCACCACCAGTGGCAGGCATACCACAGCACCCATCAGCGCTGGTGGACGACCCGCGTGCCCTCGCAGACCCACACAGCACCTTCCTCTCCGTGCACGGCGTCATGCTGCATGCCAAGCTCACAACGCCATCGCCATCGCCATCATCAACCCCATCCCCATCCCAATCCCCAACCCCATCGGCGCCACCACCAGCGCCACCACCCCTGCCGTCCTGCCCCTCGCCGCATCCCACGCTGCTGCTACACGGCTTCGGCGCGTCGCTCTTCTCCTTCCACCGCCTGCAGCAGCACCTCTCCGACCGTCTGCGCTCCCCATCCCTCTCCTTCGACCGCCCCGCCTTCGGCCTCTCTGCCCGCCCGCCCCCCTCCCCCCTCCCTGCCTCTGCCTCTGCCTCTGTCTCTGCCCCTGCCTCTGCATCTCCCTCCCCTTGGCATCCCTCGCCCTACAGCCTGGCGTACAGCCGGGATGCCACCATTGCCCTCGCACACTCCCTGCTGCATGGCCCGCTGCACCCAGCACAGGGGGCGGAGGGGAACAAAAATCCAAAGGAAGCAGGGGGAGCAGAGGCGTTTGGGGGGGAAGTGATTGGGGAGGAGGGGAATGAGGGAGGCGGCAAGGAGAGGGGGCCGGGAAGGGTGGTGCTTGTTGGGTGAGTGTAAGGGGACGGGGGAATGGGTGGGAAAGGGGTGTTTGAGAGGACGTGGGGTCTGGTGCTGCACACTGCTGTAGTGCTGCACACTGCTGTAGTGCTGCACACTGCTGTAGTGCTGCACACTGCTGTAGTGCTGCACACTGCTGTAGTGCTGCACACTGCTGTAGTGCTGCACACTGCTGTAGTGCTGCACACTGCTGTAGTGCTGCACACTGCTGTAGTGCTGCACACTGCTGTAGTGCTGCACACTGCTGTAGTGCTGCACACTGCTGTAGTGCTGCACACTGCTGTAGTGCTGCACACTGCTGTAGTGCTGCACACTGCTGTAGTGCTGCACACTGCTGTAGTGCTGCACACTGCTGTAGTGCTGCACACTGCTGTAGTGCTGCACACTGCTGTAGTGCTGCACACTGCTGTAGTGCTGCACACTGCTGTAGTGCTGCACACTGCTGTAGTGCTGCACACTGCTGTAGTGCTGCACACTGCTGTAGTGCTGCACACTGCTGTAGTGCTGCACACTGCTGTAGTGCTGCACACTGCTGTAGTGCTGCACACTGCTGTAGTGCTGCACACTGCTGTAGTGCTGCACACTGCTGTAGTGCTGCACACTGCTGTAGTGCTGCACACTGCTGTAGTGCTGCACACTGCTGTAGTGCTGCACACTGCTGTAGTGCTGCACACTGCTGTAGTGCTGCACACTGCTGTAGTGCTGCACACTGCTGTAGTGCTGCACACTGCTGTAGTGCTGCACACTGCTGTAGTGCTGCACACTGCTGTAGTGCTGCACACTGCTGTAGTGCTGCACACTGCTGTAGTGCTGCACACTGCTGTAGTGCTGCACACTGCTGTAGTGCTGCACACTGCTGTAGTGCTGCACACTGCTGTAGTGCTGCACACTGCTGTAGTGCTGCACACTGCTGTAGTGCTGCACACTGCTGTAGTGCTGCACACTGCTGTAGTGCTGCACACTGCTGTAGTGCTGCACACTGCTGTAGTGCTGCACACTGCTGTAGTGCTGCACACTGCTGTAGTGCTGCACACTGCTGTAGTGCTGCACACTGCTGTAGTGCTGCACACTGCTGTAGTGCTGCACACTGCTGTAGTGCTGCACACTGCTGTAGTGCTGCACACTGCTGTAGTGCTGCACACTGCTGTAGTGCTTGCACCTTCACTGCTGTAGTGCTTGCACCTTCATATGGTATGACATGTTGTCGTGAATCATGTCATGTAATGCCGTACCATGTCATGCCGTACCATGTCATGCCATACCATCCCATCCACTACCATGCCAAATCATGCCATGCCATGCCATGCCATGCCATACCGACTCCTCCATCACCTCCCCTCCGGTTGCTCCCCTCCCCCTCCCATCCCCCTCCGCCCTTCCCTCCCTCCCACCCTATCCTCCACCCCTCGCTTCCTACCTCTCTCCCTGCCCCGCCCCCAGCCACTCGGCGGGCTGTCTGCCAGCCATAGAGGCAGCTCTCGCCCGCCCCGACCTCTTCTCTGCCCTCGTCCTCATCGCACCTGCCCTCGTGCCGCCCCTGCTGCCGCCCCGCACCCGATCGCTCCCCTCCTCATCGCCTCCTCGCGCTGCTGATCACCACTCTGCGGGACAGGCTGCAGGAGGAAACGAGGGAGAGGCAGGGTTAGGAGAGGGGAAAGAAGGAGCAGGAGGAGCAGGAGAAGCAGGAGGAGCAGAAGAAGGGGGGGAAGAAGCAAGGGATGGCGGGGCCAAACGGGGGGGCGTTGGTCGGCTTGTGGCTGTGGCATGCTGCCTTGCATCTCTCGCTCTCTCCCGCCTGCTGCTCCTGCTGCTCTCGCTCACTCGTCTCACTGTCACCGCGTGCACGGCTGCTGTTGCTGCTGCCGCTGTGGCCGTGGCCTCTATGACCCTCCTGCTGCAACCCTTCTTTGCACTGCTTCGTTCCGCACCACTGCCACTCCGTGCTGTCGCTTACTCTAACGCCCCCACCACAGATAGCACCGCCAGCAGCAGCAGCAGCGGCGGCGGCGGCGGCGGCGGCGGCGGCGGCGGCGGCGGCGGCGGCAGCGGCGGTGGCAGCAGCGAGCGTGGAACTGTATTAGGAGCTGCTGGTGCATGTGCTCACTTCGCCCTCACTCTCACCGTCGCTCTCCCCTTCCTCCTCGCTCTCCACCTCGCCCTCCTCCTCTCCTCCCTCTCATCCTTCTCTGCATCGCTCCTGGCAGCCCTCACCTGCTCGCCCCACCTGCCCTCCGCCCTCGCTGCTCTCGTGTTGCGATGCGAGCCCATGCGACTCATGGTACACACTCAATCCCAACACTTGCTCCCCGCTGTCTCTCCCGATCTTCGCTCCCCACATTCGCTCCCCACATTCTGAGTTGCTTAGGGTACACATGCATTTTCTGGGTACTGGGGAGGAGGGATGGGTGGGTTTGGTCAGACAGTGGATAAGGAGAGGCAGACGGTAATGCAGTGCAGTGCAGTACGGTGCGATGTGGTGTGGCGCTGTTCAGGAGACAGGCGAGTAGGGCTTTGTGCCATCACATTCCATGCCATGCCATGTTGTGCCATGCCATGTTATGCCATGCCATGTTGTGCCATGCCATGTTGTGCCATGCTGTGCCATGCCATGTTGTGCCATGCTGTGCCATGCCATGTTGTGCCATGCTGTGCCATGCCATGTTGTGCCATGCTGTGCCATGCCATGCCATGCCACACCATGTGAAGAACCCATGTGGCCATGTGCGCCCATTCATGACATCAGATGCACAGAGCTACCTTCACATGCTGCTACACCTGCAAAACATCCCTGTCACCTCCACATGCATGTGCATGTACATGTAGATGTGTATGTGCATGCATGTGCACTCATGGGCTGCTGCAGTGTGCCTGGTTACCTTCCGCTGCTCTCTCAACCCCTCTCTTCGTCTCCTCCCGCTTCTCTCTCCCGGCTCTACATCCAACACACCTCTCACACGCGCACACCAGGTGCGAGCAGTGATGGGCACCGTGGGAGTGGCAGCAGTCAAGCAGGCATGGAGTAATCCGTCCCTCTGCTCGCCAGCCATTGTTGATGGTTACACCAAGGTACGTCCACTCTGCTCCTAGGTACCTCCTCTCTGCCACGTCCTCTCTGCACCGCACCCATATGGTCCTCAATAGCTGCCCCCAGTCGCCACAGCTGCATGCATGCGTCCCAACTACGACTGCAGTCGTCACCACTGCACAACATTGTGTCTTCCCTAACCTCGCCCCTCCCCTCACCCTATCCCCTCATCCCTTCATCTCCTCATCCCCTCGCCACGCCTTCTTGCCCCCACTTCCATTCTCTTCGTTCTCTCCACTTCAATTGTGTGCCTTGCTTGTCCTCCTCTCCCTCCCCTCCCTTCCCCTTCCCTCTCGCCTGTTCCACGGCAGCCCCTGGCGTGTCGCAACTGGGACAGGGCGCTGATAGAGTTCACAGTAGCAGCCACGCTCAACCCCAACACGGCCGCCAAGCTGCATGCACTCAACCTCCCAGGTGCGTGCCACTGCTTTCCTCTCACATGCTTCACTTTCCTCTCCCTTGCTCTCCTTTCCTGTCACGTGCCCTCCTTTCCTGTCACAGAACTATTGCTTACATCCACTTACCTTCTAGGTTCGCTCTACCACCTGCGTTTAGTTAGATTAGAACCAAGCACTCGAAAGTGTCTGTATGCCGTCATAAAACCCTCCATGAGAACAATTTAGAACGACATTTGCTTTTCGCCCTGCATTGCAAACATGCCCATAAGGTCATGGGAAAATGGCGTTTGAGTGCACACATGACAGACAGGTATGGGCCAGGAGCCACGCTGCTTTGTCGTCAGGATGATGTAGGGGGGTAGGGAGGCAGCTCATAGGCTAATGGTGTAGAGTCTCAAATTATGGTGCGTCGAGGTTCTGAGCATGGTGTGTGGAGAGGTGGGACCAGCAGCTGAAGCTGTCTTGGCTTCAATATAGTTGAGAGGGCTCAACGTTCAATAGCACTGCGACCAGTTCCAAGGCTGGCCTCGAATTTGGCCGCACAGAGGGTGTGGAGCTCAGGGGCGGCTTACATTGTCTGTGAGTCAATAATTCGTCTGGATCTGCTTCTTCTGTATCTGCTTCGTCTAAGGTTGACCCAAAGGAAGGGGGTCTGGTTCAGAGTATCGGGTAATTCACCCCATTGGATACAAGTGTATTCTATTATTTTGCAAAGTGCATCTATATCCTGTTTCTTCGCGTATATCCACTGTTTTGTCACAAGTGCACCTGTTTTACTGAGTTTGTGTGCGCTCTCTTCCAAAGACCATGGTGGAGGTGGTATGGTGGTGTTTTAAGACAGCTCCTGCTACTGCACCCTGGATGTACGGTAAGTGCTATTTGCTATGTCGGACGGGCCGAGGCAGGTGAGATGAATTCAATTCGGTTGGGCAGGAGAGTCAGAAGCTCGGCACAGTGTGTCGCGTCCGTGTGGTGAGAGTTTTTCTCAATTATTTCTATAGGGGGGCCTTGACCTGAATTTTTTTCAAAATGTTGGAAAGGGTATCGAGGTTGTTACTGCCAAGGAGGAGGCGTGTAAGGACGTGGTGCAGATCGCTCCGATCTCACGCAATCGGTGGTCGATTGGATCAGATCGGAATCGAATGGGTATGACTGCCCTGATCTGACGCAATCATCGATCGCATCCCGCGCCACGCGTCTGACAAATATTTCTCTACGCAACAGGGCGGAATCTCAACCGCGCCTTCCAGGCGAGTTGTATGTCCCTTCCACCTCAAAGTTGGCGAAACTAAGCGACCATTTGTATTGTACAATTACAGGGTAGCCCCATTACAAGTTTGACTGTCGCGAGATGTTCTGTAGCAGCGAGCAGAAGCGAACCTCAGTGACTGTGGTTTCAACTCGCGTATAATCGCCAACATACCCAATCTATTGATTGCAATCGGTTGCAATCGATTGCATCAGACCGAGGCTGATCAATCAGCCAACCTCAAAACGAATCTCTGGCCCTGCTCAGGTCAGATTGTAGTACAGATATTAAGTGAGTTTACATGAGATGTAAATATGGCAGTCATTCAGTTTGTGGTCTTGACTCTTGACATGCCTTTTTGGTGCTGCCCTCCCTCATACCTCGCGAATGGTACTGCTGCACTCATCCACGTACCTCTGTACTATTTAATGGTTCAATTCTGGTCTGTTATTCAGGTTCTGTATTACATTTGTCATCCCCCGTCATCATATCCCGAACAGTCCTTGTTGTTGCAGGTAGGCAAGATAAGATACTTACCCATTGGAACGCCAGGAGGGTAGCAGCAGCACTGCCTTATGCTAAGTTGGTAATTCTGGAAGAATGTGGCCATGTCCCACAAGAGGAAAACCCAGATGTGCTGCTGACTGCCATTGCTGACTTCTTAGTAGATCACTCTGGACCTCTATTTGACTGAACTTTTCTTGCCCATGTGAATGAAACGTGAAATATCACAAACTACCCAGCAAGCACACATAAACTAAATGATCTGTTCATGAAGTGCAATAAGGCATCGATCGTGCGGGAAATGCACCCATGCTGCCCCATTACTACAGGAACTAGAAGCACTTCCTGTGAACAATGGATGGGCCGGCCTCATCATACTCGCTCTTGGCAATCCACATCTGCATCACAAAAGGGAGAGTCAGCTCAAAGGGAATAGGAAAAGCATAGAGCCACGAAAAATGCAGAAACACATACCTGCTGGAAGGTGCTCAGAGACGCAAGAATGGATCCACCGATCCAGACACTGTACTTCCGCTCAGGTGGAGCAACCACCTTAATCTTCATGGTGCTGGGAGCAAGAGCGGTGACTTCCTTGGTCATGCGATCAGCAATTCCAGGGAACATAGTAGTACCACCGCTGAGCACAATGTTGCCGTACAGATCCTTCCTGATATCGACGTCACACTTCATGATGCAGTTGTAGCACGTCTCATGGATACCCGAGGCTTCCTTGCCAACCAGCGACGGGTTGAAAAGCACTTCTGGGCACCTAAATCGCTCAGAACCAAGAGTAATCATCTGCCCGTCGGGAAGCTCATAACTCTTCTCCACAGAAGACGAGCCCTGTGCAGTCGTCATCTCCTGTTCGAAGTCAATAGCAACGTAAGCGAGCTTCTCCTTGATATCCCTCACAATTTCACGCTCGGCAGATGTGGTGAAGGAGTAACCCCTCTCAGTCAGGATCGTAACCAGGTACTCCGTCAAATCACGACCGGCAAGATCCAAACGGAGAATTGCGTGCGGCAGAGCGTAGCCCTCGTAGATGGGGACAGTGTGGGACACGCCATCACCGGAATCGAGAACAATACCTGAAACCAAAGAAGGGCTTAGCAGCTGAACAATAATTCGAATGCAGCAGCGCGGAGAAAAAGGCAAGACTTACCAGTGGTACGACCGCTGGCGTACAGGGAGAGCACAGCCTGAATGGCGACGTACATTGCCGGCACATTGAAAGTCTCAAACATAATCTGGGTCATCTTCTCGCGATTAGCCTTGGGATTCAATGGAGCTTCAGTCAAGAGCACCGGATGCTCCTCTGGAGCGACACGAAGCTCATTGTAAAAGGTGTGGTGCCAAATCTTTTCCATGTCGTCCCAGTTCGTTACAATACCTGGAAAGACGAAATGCGCGAAGGTCACAAACGAGAACAAAAAGTTCTGCGTCCTTAATTCGGCAGAAAAGTGTATCTCACCGTGCTCAATAGGATACTTCAGCGTCAAAATTCCACGCTTGGACTGGGCTTCATCACCAACGTAGGCATCCTTCTGTCCCATCCCAACCATCACACCCTGATGGCGAGGACGACCAACAATGCTGGGAAACACGGCACGGGGAGCGTCATCTCCAGCAAATCCGGCCTGGAAAAGAAGGCTCACAGTGAATTAGACGGATGTCGTGAGAACGATAAATCCAGAATGCCAATGCTACTCACCTTCACCATACCGGATCCGTTGTCGCACACAAGAGCGGAAATATCTCCCTGATCGTCAGCCATCTTGAACGATTTTCACTGTGGAAGACCATGACATCAAATAAAATAAAAAGGTTACTTTCTTAGATGCTCCAAGAAAAACTGCCTGGTGCGGTTATGAAAAAAAAAAAAAAAAAACGGATCTATCTGACAGATGATGGCCAGAAGAACAAACCCTAATAACCATTGTTTGACATGCTCACCAGATGTGGATGCGGAGGAGCTAGGCTAGGGATGAGGTGCTGTGAGAGCTCCGTAGGGAATGGAGGCGGAGATAAAAAGAGCTTTCTTTCTCCTCCAGCTCTTCAAACAACCACAGAAGAAAGTACCTTAGGCAACAACCCCGCACTCACGGCACCAGCCCAACGGGCAATGCAACAGAAGGGACGAAGAACATTCGACTTCGTTTTTCTTTTTTTTCGTCACACATTCGCTTATTAGGACGCGGTGCAGATCGGCCTGATCTGCGTGCGATTGCGTCAGATTGGGGCAATCCACCATTTATAGAAAGCCGCGGGGGTATTTTGAGGCAATCGCATGCAATCGGGGGCAATCTGTCGATTGCGATCGGAAATCCGATCGATTGCGATCGATCACCTCGATCTGACGCAATCTCTTGCGAACGATTGCAATCGACAGATTGCCTCGGATCGCGGGTTTTAGCGACAGATGCGAACGGTAACCCTCCTGCCGAAAATTTTAGCAGCACCATTGGATATCGCGATATCAGACTTTCCAGACGCGCCTGCCCCCCAAAAGGGGCTACGTTGTAATTGCGCGATTCAAAATTTCGCCAGGTGTCGCCAACTATGTATGGAAGGAACGAGTGAATTGCACAAAGCCCTCGCGGCTGATTCACATTTACTTCCCCGAAATTCATCGTCTGATCGCGCGGCTCGGGACGCTATCGACAGATCGCCTAAGATTGGGGCAATCTCATGCAATCTGATCCGACCCGACCGGATCGGACGATCTGAGGCGATCGATCAACCGATCTGCACCACGTCCTCAGGCTTTGCTTTGAAGGGAACAACTGACGCGTCACAATTGCGACATCGAGGGAGGATCGCGGTCACATACCGAAGCTGTGAGAATCGATCTCCTCCGGGCCAAATGTGCCGCGTTCGTCCTCAGGTTCGATAGTTAGCGAGGTTAGAGGCATTTTTATCAGTTTTTACTGCAATATGTAGGATTTGAGTACGGTGACAGATCGACATGGAAGGGACATCGCGTTCGGTGAGGTGTGTCGGGTCTTCGCGAACTGTGATGAAAACGGGATACAAGACACTGCGACTCTTGTACACCCAGAACATCGATCTCCCACAGAATCGATGTCGCAATTGTGACGCGTCCTGACTGTAAAGCTCATGAAAACCCTTGCCAAACCTTCCTATGTCCAAAAAAAAAACATTTTGACCACTGACCGAGTTTGATTCGTTGAGACCCAGAGCACCCCTGCACCCAGAAATAATCTCGACACAACGGTACCCAGTGTAATCCCAAGGTAAGAATACAAAGCGAGGAGTTTATGACTATGACGTGTTATGCAGGATGTTAGTTCACAACTGAAATGAGCAGAACTAAAATCAAGGAGCTATAACCAAACAGACCATAGAAAGAAAGTGATGAGGATATTTTTACGATAAGGAAGTGATGAGCATTCCGGTGCGTAACAAGGAGAAAGCACAATCGAGAACGAAGACGAATGGTCAGCATGATGCAAAGGGTCGCGTACGGTTGGAGGATCTGGATTGTCAGCACGGGAACCAGTTACATTGCCAAGGGAAAAGGCGGGAACCAGTTTGAAACGGGTTCCCGTGTCGCACGGTTAAATTTCGCTGCAATAAGGAATGTACCCCTTATAGTACATGGTTAGCTATGCTGTTTCGTATTCCCTGTTTTTCATACATAAACACATGTATGCTCTTGTTATAATAACTTCTATCATTATACATCAGGGCCTCAAATTTGTTTTTGCCTAGGCTGAACAGTCAGTGTTGTACCTAAAAAAAAGCTGAAAAAAATAGTGTCCTGGTTAAAAAAAGGCTGACTAATCAGCCTCACTTAAAAACTAAGGCTGAACTAAGCTAGAGTCCATTTTCAATTAAGTGCTGTGGGTGAGGTGGGGGTGCTTGACCTGGGCGCACCCGGTGCTTTACTGTGTGTTGTTCTGCTGCAGAACTTCTGCACCAAATCGACGCGTTGGGAAAATTTGTTTTCCCACTACATCAGCGCTGTAGATGGCTATTTCGGTGTGACTGACGGGGAAATGAACCTAGACTGCTGAAACTCATGGCTCCTACACGAATCAGAAATAGCGCGATTTCAGCCTACACCCTCGTTAGTACGCTGAGCAATCAGTGTACACTTGGAAAGAATCTCTGAAATATCAGCCCATACATAAAAACAAAGGCTGAAATATCAGCCCATACATTCTCCCCATGTCTGAAAAATCAGCCTTCCGACCCTAAATCAGCCATTTTTCGCTGACATCTGAGGCCCTGTACATTTACTATAATTAGGAGTCAATCACTTCTGTTGCATAATCACTCTGTTATCAATCCCGAGGCTGACCCTGGCTAAGTCTCTTGTGGAATCGTAACAAGGTACGAAAGCGACTTAGGATTTTTTCGCATCTCCACTTCCAAAAGTTTATACGACATAAAAGGGGCGTTCGGCAGACGCTCGCGTGTCAAGATGGCCGGAGGATTAGGAAGTCAAACGAATCTGACGGCTGAAGACTAACCGACTCCGGTTGCGAGCACTGAAGCGACGATGATAATCAGCACCGTCACACGGGAGCAACTTCTCCATGGACTATCAACTATGGAGAAATGGCTCCAGACATTGCGGAATGGCGACGCGGAAACCTCCTCCTAACCTTCTCAATCGGCCGCGACTGGCCGCGAAATAGTCCCGCAAACCTTCTCCCTTGACATGAACACATCTACATGAAAGGTTCCCTGTCGAAGTATTGTCAGATACAAGGAGTGAAATGCACTAGGAAAGGGTTGGGTACAAGTTGGAAAACCTAAAACTGTTGTACCCTATAGGAACTACCCCACTACAGCCTAAACAGACTATAGCATATAAGTTTGACACACCCCCATAGGCAAAGTGGGGAGAGCAAGGGGTCACAAGACCACTCAAGAAAAGCAAAGCAAGCCCAGGGTGGATCACAACGTCACCACACATTCTGAGCACAAGCAGATGGCCACAAGGCTAGTTTACATGCAGAGTTATACAATAGTGGTAAAACCTAGCAAGTGAAAACATGCATGTATAGATATATAGATCACAGTACAAGCAAAGTCAAGAAGTGAGCAAGTGAGGCAAGGTAGGTACAAGGCCTAGAACAGTACGTCGGGCATGGGGCTCGTGCTTGGAGGACGGAGTCAAGTTGTTTTCAATGGCCACGCAGACGCGTCTTGGGTTGACGATTTGGCTACGCAGCGGTCGTCACAGAGTTACACTTTCAGCCTTGGCTCCGGTTCTGTTTCTTGGCGGTCTACGCGCTCGTCTTTTGTTCTCAGTTCTAGTTGTGAGGCTGAGATCTACGCAGGGGCCATGGCTACACAGGAGTTACGCTGGCTCACCTACCTGCTGACCGACTTGGGAGAACGGCCTAGTTCTCCTTTAGTTTCTGTACGTAGACAACAAGGCCATGATTGCCTTGTGACAGGAGCACAGACCGGAGCACAGGACAAAGCACATCGCTCTGCGTTACTTCCTTGCTCGAGAGTTGCAGCAGCGTGGTCAGCTTTGTCTTGCTTACGTGGCCACTCGGGTCAACACTGTTGATATATTCACCAAGGCACTTCAGCCTCTCAATCATCATCGTTTTTGTACTGTTTTAGGCCTTGTGCCTACTTTCCCTCACTTGCTCACTTCGTGATTTTGCTTGTACTGTGATCTATACACTTGTACCTGCCTGCTTACACTTGCTAGGTTGTGATCACTGTACTGCTTGTTCTCATATATAACTCTGCATGTGAACTGGCCTTGTGGCCATTTGCTTGTGCTCATTGTGTGTGGTGACTTCGTGATCCACCCTGAGCTTGCTTTGTTTTTCTTGACTGGTCTTGTGACCCATTGTTCTCCCCCACTTTGCCTATGGGGGTGTGTCAAACTATAATGCTGCTTATGTTGTGTAGGTGTAGTGGGGTAGCCTATATGGGGTACAACCCAATTAGGGTTAGTACTTGTACCACTTTTCTGATCAATGCATTCATTCCTCCTTAGTCTTCTAACACTGAAGCAGTCTAAACTGCCCGCCACCTACAGGCCCTGCACCACGGTGTGTGCCTGCACAGCCTCCTTTCTACCATGGCAAGCAGGCTGGCATGGCGGTTCCGCGCAGACCGGCAAGCAGGCGCAGATCCGGTCTACGCGCATGGCGGTCGGAGTTTCGCAACCCCCAAGGGTGAGGGTGCTGCAGCAATCAAGGATTAGGATACCTCCAGTTAGTATCTCGACATCGGTCTTCGCCGCGATGACGACGACGATGTCGACAACGACGAGTCTCCACCTGGTGTCAGACTTATATGACTTAGCCTATGTAGGCTATAGTGGGGTAGCACATATGGGGTACAACACATTTCTAGGGTTTGTACTTGTACCCAACCTTTGCCTTAGTCAATCATTCCTCATTCTTTCACATGGTATAGAGCAGGTTCCCTAGTGGGAACGTTTCCTAGGGCCCACCGAAAATCGATTTTTTTTTTCCTGCCCGGAGCGCGCTTCGCCCCTGCCCGAGTCGCGCCCCGTGTGCCTGCCCTCCCGTCGCGTCCCCTGCCCTTAGCGGCCCGTCGCGCCCTCTTACGGCCCCTCGCGGCCCCTTAGCCGCTCCCTCGCGGCCCCTCTCACGGCCCCTTGCGGCCCCTTCGCGGCTCCCTCGCGGCCCCTCGCGGCCCCTCCCACGGCCCCTCGCGGCCCCGTCGCGGCTCCCTTGCGGCCCCTCGCGGCCCCTC